TAAGGGACCCCATGGCATCCAAAATCGGCTACCAGGAGAACCCTAGAGTCCTTAGAGCCGATTTTGTGCCTCCATATCCTCTCTCCAAGATTATCCTTCTTGCCTTGGTGTTTGTGATCGATTAGAGGTATTACATTTGTGATACTAGGCTCTTAAAGTTAGAAGATTCTTGCAACAATCAAAAGGTAATCATCTAAACCTGTTTTATATGTTATTACGATTTTGATATGCTAGATCTAGGATTTGTAAGCTTTGGATAACTTGCATGTACAATAGAGAAACCTAGATCCAAAACTTTAGGGTTTTGCATGTACACCATAGGATTGATGTTTTGTTCAAAACTCATCAGTGGTATCAGAGACTTTCTTGGTTTCTATTGTATTTGATACATTGTGTGTTTATTCATTGCTTGAAATCGAAAATTATGTCGTCTGTCTGACAGACTCGTCGAGTCACCTGATGAACTCGACGAGTCAGATGAACTCGGCGAGTCATGTAAGTGACTCGGCGAGTCGGAGTGTCAGACAGAAGGATTTTCGGGATTTTGGCTTATTTTGACTTGGGATAATTACCAAAAATGTTTTAAATTAATAAAATCCGATTTTTATTGTTATCATGTGATTATCCTTGGCAAAATAAAAGATATTTATCAATTAATTATATAACTATTGCCTTATATGATAAACCTTAATTATTTGAATTATTTGATTAAATCTTGCATGCAATTGGATTAGGTTAAAATTAGATAATCACCAATTAATTGTTTAATTATATTATTTGAATTTTGATCTAGATAGTTTTGAAAAGTTTCAAAACTTGCCCTCAAGTTTTGGAATTTAAATTTTGATTAAAAAGTTTAATTTTGGAATATTTAAATTCTAAACCTTAGAATTTTACAAGTTTAAAATTCAACCCTTATATTATTATAATATTATAAGAATAATATATATGTATATGATAAATGCTAGTCTTACCGTTAGTAGGCCTCATTCACGAAGTCGATCTATAAGGGGGGTATAAGGTTGCTGCCTATAAAATGGCAGTTTAATGGGTGTCCACTCTCACCCACCGTTTCCTTGATTGGTGGAGGATCGTTAGCCGAACGGGTAGGATAGGGTAACTAATTCCTCATTAAAAGTATAATAGTTAATAAAGTAACTAAATGTTTTTATAAAATTCTCAATCTTAGTTACTTTAGGAAAAATGTGAAAATGATGCTATTCCATGAAATTACACTTTGTACCCTTGCCAAGACGTTAGTGGAGCGTGTGTGATTAACCGGCACACTAATTTGGGTCTAGCAAAGGTGGCAAAGGGTGACTCGAAGTTTGTCATAGATCAATGGAGCGTGTGTGGCTAACCGGCACATTGATTAGGTGACTGTAGCATTGAGGGCACCAAGTACATTTGCATGATTATTCACACCTTGTTTGTGATCCTCGGTATCCCAGTCACAAACTTGAAGGGCATATCGAGATTTGAACATGCCATTTAAAAGTTCAATGAATCTCAAAAGATTTAGGAGTTTCAATACATTTAAAACTTAATCTTTGTTTTTTGTTTTTTCATGGTGGAAATTAGTGAATTGTCATTCACTTACCTTCAAATTATTTGCGATTTAGATTAAGACACCCCTCTTCTAAATTGCGAATAATGTTGTTGGGTCCTAGCCCTAATTTCTCATTTGGGTGTTTAATTGGGGATTCTTATCTAATCAAACTTTATATCTTCTCTTTTTTCATATGCCTACCTCAAACAACAACAACGCTTCTGGCTCGAACTCTTCCGGCTCATTCTCACTCATGAATTTGTGTGGGAGGGTGATTTTCGATGGGACCAATTTCAATGATTGGATCCGCAACATTCGAATGGTTACCCGCTATGAGGACAAGGAGTATGTCCTCGACAAGGATCTGAAAGAGGTGAATGTCAACACTGCTACTCCCGAGGAGATCGCTGCCTTTAAGGCCCACGAGCGCGATGCTACGAAAGTCCATTTCATCATGCTCGCGACTATGACTGTCGAACTCCAAAAGTCCTACGAGGACTTCTACCCGTATGAGATGCATCAGGATTTACTGGACAGGTACCACCAAAGTGCCAGGCAGGAGAGGTACGAGATCATCACTTCGATGATCACTACCAAGATGAGGGACAGAGAGTCTGTCACTGCTCACCTGCAGAAAATGCAGAGATATGTCAACCGCCTACTGAAGTTAAATGTTAACTTCGATGAGGAGCTGGCGATTGATATCATTCTTCACTCCTTACCTCCTTGTTACAACCAGTTCCGCATGACCTACCACATGAACAAGGAGGAGATTACTTTGAGCAAGCTTCAAGGCTTGCTGAGGACTGCTGAGAGCAACCTCAATGATAAATCTGTTGCATCAACTCCTACTGTCGCTGCCCCCGTCTTGGCTATTGGGCAGGGGGAGGGTAAGAAGAGGAAGGCTCCTTCCAAGAGCCACCATAAGGGAAAGTCCCAAGATGACACTTCTTCTAGTGGAACCAAGGTTGGTTCCATTGTACCCTCCTCCAACCAGAAGGATGCAGAGTGCTACTACTGCCATGAGAAAGGGCATTGGAAACGAAGCTGCCCGAAGTATCTGCATGACATCAAGGATGGAAAGATAAAACCATCCTACGCAGGTACTTATACTATTCAATCTAATAACTCATCGCATGTTATTTCTTGGGTTCTCGATACAGGATGTGGTTTTCACATTTGTTCTGATTTGCAGGACCTAAGAAGAAATAGGGATGTGGAGCATGGGAAGATAAACTTGATCATGGGGAACAGAAGAGCGTCGTCTGTCACTAAGATTGGAGTTTACTATTTGGTGCTTAGTAGTGGGTTAGGACTAGAGTTGAATCATTGTTGCTATTCGCCAGAAATGGCAAGAAACATCATTTATTTTCATGGTTTATATAAACAGGGTTTTAGATTTTCGTTTGATAATGAAAAAGGTTCTATTAATGCTTTCTTTTATGGTGTTTTCTATTTTGAAGCATTTCCTTGTAATGGAATATATGAAACTGTGATGGTTGTAGACAACTTAGGAAATGAT